TTTTTAGAAGGATTTTGATAAAATTCCACAGAAAAAAGTCACAGGAAATTTGGCTTATCCCTCTTGACTTGGGGCCAACCTAAAGTCTGTAGGATGAGGAGGCTGGGACCCTCATTCTGAGTGAAGGATGCAATAGACAGATGTGAAGGAGAAAAGGTTTACTGACAGTATTTATAGTTTTAAACTGAGGAAATTACATCAGGAAAGATTACAACTGAGGACACCACAGCCAGATCCAATTTGACTGCTGTCATACAGGCCTGGGTTTAAAAGATGCCTTAGTTCAAAACGGTCAGAAAATCTTCTTCTTGAACACAAAAAGGCTATTAAGAAACCTAATTTACAGGAACGTATTCCAGTTCCTCAAAGGTATTCTCACACCAACTGACTTTTATAGGGTTAACAATGAAACAAATGGGAGAACACAAATGGAAACTACGGAAAAGAGCATTTACAACTGAGAACATTTTTTTACACAAAGGGTTGTGGGAGTATAGGACAATTGGTAAATACATATTCCTGATACTCTGCCAACTTTCCAGAAATATCTGGAAAAAGCCACATATTAGAGACCAGATGAGCTAGAGGGGTTGAATGGTATTCACTTGTTAGAATTTTCTTTCTTTTGCTTCTTCCCTATTCCTCATTAAGCTTTCAATCGCTGTGAAATAATCTGTGCAGACTGAGCAGAAAATCTTCATATTCAGTGCCTGGCATATAGTATTATTTGATGAGAGTCCTGATAAATGTTGCTGTACTTGCACTTTTATCTCTGTATAAAACTACAGTGTTAATCTTTCCAGCAAGTTAGGATGGATAACAAGCTATACAAAGGATAAGGTTTTGCACAGTTTTTAGATGTTGCCTTTCACACAGTTTAGAAAGGAAATGTATTCCCAAAATAAGTTTGCAGTGTAAAGTTACCTCAGGTTTCGTGCTTCTAAGCAAACAACCTCATCATCAGAAGAGCGTTACTAAATGTTCACAGAGAGGTAAGGTCGAGCAAGAGCACAAATGTCACTGTCTTTCTTTAATGTAACGTCATTACAACAGTAAATGGCACTAGATTCAGAAATGTTTTATGTCTCAAACACTTCCCATAAGAAATAAAAAATAGTGTTGGGTTCTGTGTAGTCCAGTATCAGGTTAAGATAGCACTCACTTCACAGTCATTGGAAACAAATGACATTAAAAATCAGAACAAGACAATCCTTATTATTTTTCTTTCATTTTTAATTGAAACATTTCCTCAAGCACCTTTGGCTTCAATTTATTTGTACATGACATCATTCTTTTAAAAAAATATGGCTTATTGGTTAGTAACCAGAGGAGTGTGGTTATACAGTTTGATGAGAACAGCAGGGCTGATGCGGAGGTGTTTGAGAAGGAAGATTTTGTAGTACAACTGAGCATGCAGTACAACAGCCAGGGTCTAGAAGGTTTAAGGAATGGCGGGCTTGTACATTTTCAGGATGTGGCGCTTGATGTTACCCTGTAAATAATGGCATCTGAGACAAATACCAATGGCCTAGGGGACTTTCAAACGATACGGTCCTTTCTTAGCTACAACATACTGTTAGTTTCTCAATAAAGGAAATCATTTTTCTTGGTGACAGCCTCATGAAGATAAAAAAAAAACATTAAATTGGCTAATACATTGCTAATACATTGGCAATTTTCTAAGTTTTTGCACAACACTCAGCTCTCAAATGTTGGATTGCCTTTATTATTTATCCAGTTAATGAAAACAGTCACACTTCCCAGCCCTTCATTGTCTGGCTGGCAACAATTGAACAAAAGTAAACAAAAGATAAATATATAGCACTGCCATGCCCCTCTTTCGTCATCAAACGGATTTAGAAGGAAAAGATGGCTAGTTTAAATCTTCACTGAGTACCTTTTATCAAGTCCCCAGCTGTATTTCACTGAAATTCCTTCCTCCATTACACCTGGTTCAGTCTCAAACTGACACAATTGGAACCCAGCCCAATGTCAATCTGAATCATAATCTATTGCAAATCTGTCAGTCTCAAGTCTAAGGCTGCTTAAAGTTAGTGAAGAGTAGTAAATCCATAAATACATACTGGACCATAAAACACAGTTGAGAGTCAATTCCTAAAATTGCCAAGTGTCTTTTACTACTTCATACCAACAGTGTTTTAAGCTGTCTTGTACACTCGTTGCTCAGATTTGTTTTTAACCATTTCATCATAACCTTTCCTCTGACATATCTCAAGCAGTTTAAATCTCCTTTTGAAATTATGGTTAACAGTCGGTATATTTAAAAAGACATAAATGTTAAACCCCATTTTCCCAGGGTTAATTCTTTATGATTTATTTCACACGCTTAATCATGAAGGTAATTATTCAAGGTATCCTCATGCTTGCTTGCCATTTACAAGATGGCGTTTCAGTAGGTTAAGACAGAATCCCACTCCTGATTGAAAGCAGTCTTTTCTCCTCATGCATCACGTTTTCTTCACCCCAGTGTCTCATTTCTTTAATTCCATCCTTGAAACGGCTCATATTGAAGTCACATTTCACTGCCAACAGTTATAAATGAGCTATTGAAAAGCATTCAAGGCATATATATCTAATACAAGTCTATTTCAGGGCCTCTTGGCAAAGGAGGTGGACGTATTATTCATCAGAGTTTCTGAAACTATGTTTGACACGGATGTCTCCTTTTCTTCGTAAAGTACATCTCACTTGGAAGACTTAGAGTTGCCAGGAGCCCTTTAGTTAAATGGTTCCGGAAAAATCACTGTTCATTTGAAATTTCCAAGCATGCTGCCTTTACTTAATCCATTCAGCTCTTGTTCCTTAGCAGCCCTGCCTGTTTTGCATTCTTTCGTTGGCTTGATCCATTTGCTTTAAAAAAAATCAGATAAAAAAACACATTGCATGCACGCTTCATTCAGAAAACATGGTACATCCTACTGCACTCTTCACAGAAGCAACAGGAGTCGGACTCCAGCCTCATTGCACAGTTGCAGCTGTAGCCAGTGAAGATATAAAAAGAGCTAAAGACAAGGATATTGCTGAGGCACCACCACAGTCTTCGGCATTTTCCTGCCATAAAAGAAAAAAAAGTTTAAGATCAGCAGGCAAACACTTGGCAGCAGTCTGGAGCAGTGGGTAGACTTCTGGACTCTAGGTTGTAAATTTACAGTATATCCTTGGTAAGACACAGCTGTAATACCTTTAAATTATAAAAATGTGTATAATTTAAATGAAATTATCCCAGTAAAATAGCTGTGAATGTAGATTTTGATGGATAAAAGCTTATGTTAATAAGGACCTGCTTTATGGCATTTCATTAATAACCCAGTTATTAAACAACACAGAACACTTATTTAGTATATCTGGTGGTTATTCGTAATTAGTGTATTCAGCAACAGTTAAAATGATTACTTATTCAATGCTGCTCTTTACAGACAAAAAAATGAATAACTTAATGTTAGATATTTCTTATTTAGATGTTAGATATATCTGATATAATAAATATAATGTTAGAAATATCTGTTAAAAACGTCTCACAACAAGGACAATCACACAGAATGACAAGGTTATGCTTACAAACTTTGAAATAACACACAATAAATTATTTGTATATACTCTCATTTGTAACTGTTATTATGTTCTCAGGAGGCTCAATTACTATAGTGTAGAAAGAACGTTTTGTTTCTGATTTGAATCCTTCGTGATTCTGTGTGCTGTAAACATGCAAGTCGACGGAGTCTCACCTCTGGGTGGAAGGCGTGACAGGAATCTGGACGTCTCCGGATCTTCTGTGAGCGCATCCTGTCACACTTGACTGAGGCATTATGTGCTCTTGGATTAAGGTACAAAACAGTGGCCTCACATTGGCACCCACAGACATCCCCCTGCTACCTTTATCAAGAAAGCTCTCCATTAGCCTAAGCATATGAAGGAAGCTTAGCATATTTTTGACAAATTCATCTTATGTTCATTTTACCCCTGAGTACCACTAGGCTAATACCAGCAGCATGTTGTCTGCCAAAGTTATGTGGACGATATATGTGGAGATATGTGTGTGTGTGAGGAATGTCACAGTCACACTGGCTACTTTAGTCAGTACCAAACCTTTCAAGAAATTAACTGCTTTGTGATTTAGATTTAAGGACACAGGGTATTTAGATGTTGGATTTAATATGTATTTTGTATCTGGGCCATCTTGAAGAAATGCATTTTGTTCAATTTTGTTGAAGAAAATGCCCTTTAATATATAACACATCTGCATGATCTTCGTAAATTGTTGAGCCACATGTACATAGTAGACATGTTGTAGCAAAAAATAAACATATGAAGATAACACAGACAGCTTAGTGGAGTTCAGGTGATAGTCCATCCATCCATTTTCTGACTGCTTTATCCACTTTAGTTTGTGTAGAGTTTTGTGGTTGTGCCTAAGTCTATCAAGAAATGTGTGCAAGGTGGGGTATACCCTGGACAGGATGCTTATCCTCACAGGACACACAAACACAGACATGCACACACATACATTGTACATTACATACAAATGAAGAGACACATCTGCTGAGACACTGTGGGAATCAGTGCAATTGTACTCTTACATTTTCAAGATTTTCAGTAGAACTTTTTAAGTGGACAGCATTACAATGTAATCTGCAGAGGAAAGTGGATTATAGCAATTTGTTTCTGTTTGTGATTTAACCATGTTCAAATGAGCAGTGTGTGTTGTGTTAGTTGCTTTTGGTGCAAGTGTGAAAGGATATATTTAACTTCCTTTGGCTCCAGAGTCAGAGGAGGATAGTTGCTGCAGTCACAGTCTGCTTGGGAGACCAACATCAGCAAGTTGCTGTTGGAAATCTCTTGCACCACAAACATTCTGCAAGCAAAGAGAGGTAATTCATTAACTGAGAAGCACACAGAAAATACACTGGACAAGGAAGAGGGTCAGGAGAGCTCTTCAGGTAGTCCTGGATGAATGGTTAGTGTACTGTATATCCTGTGTGCTGGTTTAAAATGGATTAGCAGGTGTGTACTGTTTTCTAAAGAAGAAGAAGTTACAGATTGCATCCCAAGGATGACTGTCTTGAGGTTTGTCTTTTCCTCACTTAAAGACAACTGGGAGGGGACTGGTTTTATATGAAGAAAGTTGTAGAGAGATAAAACCAGACTCCTTGTAATGAGTGTTCAAAGATCTGTCACCTGGCGAGGGATGGTAAGAGAGTGAAAATCAATAATAATCTTTAAACTTAGGTAAAGACGAGTAACCAAAGCCTTTGGAGTGCTATAAAATCAACACACTCCAAATAATACTGGAACTAGAATTAGCAGCCATTTTGCTGAAGAGTGTTAAGTTAACAAGAGCATCACCATCCACTCCATCTGCCACGCCAACGCATTACACATTAGAATGGGGGTATTGATTTTCCAGTTAGGCCACATGGGCAGAGATAAGCAGAGATAGTTCCTTTTCCAGCTCTCTGATACTGTCCCGGTTCTGGCATTGTGCCACCTGCGGGATGCCCACCCACTTCTTTTCTTTGTCAGCATCTGCAGTCTTTTACAAAAACAGCTGAAGCTGAGTGTCGCCAGGGAGGTGCGGGCAGCTTCAGCACTAGGGAAGAGAGAAAGGATTTCATAGACGCTCAATAAAATCTGCAGTTGGATCAGTGCATCAGAAAGACAGTCTCCCCAGTTGTGTCCCATGAGGTATGAACTCTTTTCCCTTGGATTTTAGATGAGGAGGAGGCCCAGCTTCATCGCTGACCAGTGACTTCAGCAATGAGATGTTCCTGTGAAAACTGAAAATTCAAGTTTAATATTTAAAAAAATGGGAGATAATGAGACAGCCTCCATCCTGGTAGGGAGCCACAGCAGGTACAGGGCCAAATGTGTTGGGGTGTGATCGTAACAGTGAGCCAGTAGATAGAGGAAAGCAAGAGTATTATTCCATAACCAGACCGGGTTATCATTGTTCAACAAAAGGTACAAACACAAAATATGAACTTGTTAAGATTCACAAACCATGAAAACCATGAAAAATCTCAAAATAACTAAACTTGTCATCTTTAAGCAAACTGTTTAATTCAGCCATTCTGTTGTCTCAGTCCAAAGCAAGTATTGCAAAGAACAACAGTTTCAATAGAAGCTGTGATTCCAACAGTTAATCCTCAGTCATGAAGTCTCTACATTTTCAATGCTTTTTATATGTATTTCTGTGTTTCAGCAGAAAACTGAAATATATTTTCAATAATAATTGTCTAAGAAAAAAACATACTATTCAAAAAGTGGTGTAATAGGGAAACGTGGCAGTCTGGAAGGATCTGTTTATTCAATCTCTCATGTATTTGTTTTATAGTCAAGCTTAAGTGTTTAATCTTGTAAGTTCAAAGCGCAGCCTTATAGAAATAGCATCTTTTAGTGGATCTGCAAGATTTTCATGCAGTACATTTTTCAGTATTTACTTTAAAACCACATAAAATGAAATACATTTCACCTCTTGAATCCCCTCAATATTTTAATAACTCCTACTCTACAGGTGCCTTGTGCCTCTGCCTTCTTCAGAACAGGTATGTTCATCCAGTGCTACCAGAGCAGATGCGTGTGTATGTCTGATTGTGTGTGCCTATACAAATTTGTACTTTTTAATCAGTGATTATGGTACTGGTTTTAGTTCATAATAATAATATAAAAGTGTAGACTTGATTGATCTAAAATGTCTAAAGTCTTTTTGCTACGTTCTTGTGAATGAAGGGTCAGCAGTCTATCCATTCTGGCTTTCCTTGTCCCTGATCTAAGAATAGGAAAGTTCCAGCAGAAGAAGGGAATGTCATTGGGCTTTCCCAAAACTAGAAACTGGAGGTATAATAATAATAATAACAACATCACTTTATTAACCCTTTACAATTTCTTGCATTAGGAATTATCTTTTCGCATACCCCAGCTTCCTCTCCATGAGACACAGGGAGAGAGCCTGGGGTCAGAGCACAGGGTCAGCCATTGTACAGCACCCCTGGAGCAGTGGGGGTTAAGGGCCTTGCTCAGGAGCCCAATGGAGTAGGATTCCTCTGCTGGCTGCAGGATTTGAACCAGCAACCTTCCTGCCACAGGCGCAGATCCTTAGCCACAGAGCCACCACTCCGCCCCTGCGTGGAGGCCCTGTGATGTTTTGCCAAAGTAAACCTGACTCTTCTCTATCTATTAAATACACAACTGCTCTGCCCCTGACTGATCTCAGTCCCACCAGCATACATTACCCCTCCCTTGCTTGAACAAGCAAAGGAATACAATTTTCCAAGAAATAATGGGAGTATTAAGAAAGAACAAGATCTACTTATACGTTAACACTGAGTGAACAGATAACATGCAAGCTAGGTGAGCATCCATTCCCAATTTTATCTTTACCAAATATCTCCTAAATTCACCCTTGTCAATTCACCAAGATAAGGAGTAACAAGAAAACAGCAATTGACTGTTCAAATACCCTTGATTAACAGGATAGGTGTTCACTCTTTCATCTGTATTGAAGATGAACCCTCTCTTCCAAGATTTAGCACAAAGCAGGCATAGTAATTTATTATATGGAGATATGTCACTGTGGATCCATCAGTGAGCTTCTCACCCTATTTCACTCTGCCTGGAATACCTAAAATTAAATATGGTGCCTTTTTGTGTGTGTTATCATTCTGTATATTTGCAAAGAAGAGATCTTGATGATCTTAAAGACACCATCATGCCTTCCAGGTGTGCACTGATTCTACACCACCACCTGAAGTGAAAGAACAGGATGATTCCCCTAATCCAGAAAGTTTACTACCCTGAAGGCTGGTTTTATCACAACTCACAAACTCAGCAAACCTAGGACTGGCTTATACTGAATAGCAAGGCCACTGTGGAGAATATAGTTACTAAGTGTTGCATCTGGATCAGTAGGATGTTCTCAGGTTCTGGATTAGGAATTCCACAATTTTCAAATTGTCCAGTGAAGTGGAAGAGGACACTGTGATGAATTATGAGGTTAGGAGACACTTTCTTTGGAATAATAAATTAAAGTAAGATTCCGTGATATCATGTTTAGAAAACATAAGCTTTGTGTCCTGGTGAAATTCCAGTTCATACTTGTACAGCCATCTCTATCTAAATCTCCACTTGCAATTTATATAATTTTTTTTTTTTACACTGGAACATTTGAACTAGGTAAACTTTACTATTTAAATAAGCAGGTTGGAAGCTTCTTCTCTACCAAGTTGCAGTCCTCAAAAAGAACTTCCTGCCTATGAAACATATCCAATGAGAAACAATTTTTACATTGAGGAGATAACTCCCAGACTGAAAATGAGACAATTAAGGCTTTGAGTATTGTGCTTAGATATGCAGGAGAAGGAGGAATATCCTTCTGAGGTGAAGTCTCATTTGTCCTGTCTGTGAGAAAGTAATGGTCTGAGTTCAGGCAGTAGCAGGTCCCTTAATCTTTTTTTTTTAATTTTGTTGTTGTTCAGCATATTTCAAAGCATGGGCATTCCAGCTATGGCATTTTTTAGGACTACTGTGAATCAATAAAATGAGAGACAGATAAGGAGGTTATGAGTAGGTAGCCTGTTCATGCTTAGATCCTGGCTGCCATTTCCAACATCAGCTGAATGTCTGCGTTTTGACACAGATGTGCTCAACAGTGTTGACTCTTCTTTATTGTTTACAGATACCGCCTGGCTTTAGGTGAGTCACACATCTACAAACACACACAGGGTAAAATATGAATTGCTTGAGATTTCTCAAAGCCTTCATAGCAGGAACCTGTTAAACTGGGAGCTCTGGGGAGTTTGTATGATAAATAACCACCTTTTTTTAACATACTGGAGCTAATTACTTAAAGAAACAGTAACAAGATAAGTATAGGAAGGAAAAGTAACTTGTTGTCAATCTCAAAATGCCATGTGCTACATTATAAACTGGAGTTCCTTAATGCCATCTCAGAGTTTTTTCTAAATGTGTGCATCTTCAAAACACACAGTTTATTGTAAGACTAGTCTATGTTAGGTTTTTCTAAACTAATATGAAAAACCAGAAGGGCTTTGCAGCATTTCAGAAAGCAACCACTCACACTGCACTTATTATTTTTGATAATATGTCTATGCACTGAAAATGTATGCTTTTCTGCTCTGTGCCCTGTGGCTCTGGGCCCCATCTGTGAATGTATCCCTTTGCCGACAGGAGCCAGCTGCCTGTGTGGGAGACGAAAATCTGTTGGCAAAGGTACTATGCATGGAAAATACTGACGGGTCTTCCTAGAGTCCTTGATTTATCACCAGATACTAGCTCTCAAATAAACATTTCTATCTATGCTTATACAATAGCTGATACAGGAGAAGATATGCAGCCTAGGTAAATGACTGCTGCACAACCTATGCTTGCGTCACAGAATAACAAGGTACATCACATATTGATGAAGGGAGAATGCATGTCTATCCCTTGTTCATGTGCAATTGAGTCAGACAGTAACACACATTTAAACAGGCTGCAGTTCCTTACCCATTCATCCAATTTCCTAATTAACAGAAATTTGCAAGGAGATCAAATTCTACTGTTGCACTTCCACTTCCCTACATATAAATACTCCCTGGCTGCTTCTTTTCTAGTTCCTCTCCCTCCAGCTCAACTTCGCTCTTGCAGCTGCCTCCCTGGTTAATTCCCAATAAATCAGAGGGGCTGTGACGGTACTGATCCTCGGCCTTCCTTATGAATTTTACCACACCTCTGAAGAAGTTTATTTTTAACATGACTGGGTTTTGCAACGTGGCATCCCATTCAGGATGTATCTTGCTTTGTGCCCAATGCTTTCTGGGATAGGTTTTGGCTCCCCCATGCCATGTATTGGATAAA